AGACACAAATCAAATTAACAAATAACAAATACTAGTGCGTTCAAATCAAGTTAAATTCAAATTGCGCAAATACAATTACTACTCTTTAGTTCAAATACAAATTACAATATAAACGAAGATACACATCACGGTCGATCAACAAAAAATGCCTAGCTCGGAAATCGACCCTTCGATAAGTAATCCACTACAACTATCCGACAATGATAATTAACCGATTACGTAAAAATCACCATCTACCTACATGACGTATATCTCTAAAAAAACTCCCGCTTGCGCAACCTAGGGCGTGGCTTTTCAAACTACCCACTAACCAAAAAAGGCAAGCAACAAAGGAAAATAATTTTATTATTACGTACAAAAAAATATTTTTACGTATTACGCACGGGCGTGATTGTAGATACAAATTAAACCAATCAAACCAACGCTCCCTGCCAACAGAATTGTTTAATGTTTATCAAACACTATGGTCGGGATCGACCGGGAATCGAACCCGGAACCGCGCTCTGCTACCAGATTTGTTACGGCCTACGGCTGCTCCCTTACAGGATCGAATCATCAGGGGCCCATGAGCTGAAGACTTCCCGAGCAGACGTAGGTCGGGCTTCAATGTGGCCACGTGGAATCTCTCTAATTACACTAAAATACATGGGGGAGCGTTATACTACGGCCAGTCGACCGGAAGGTATTTGGACGAAGCTTACTTACCTATGTCCAAAGCGACTGGTCCCTCCGGAGTCGGTCAGGTCGCATGTGGTTGTGTAGTGCAAGGGAAAGAATGGTGATGTGGTGTGTATCTGGATGTGACTGATGGTGATTGAACCTAGACCTTAGCCGTCGGCAGCAGCCCGGGCGTCGACACCGCTCCAACTTGAGGGGGCCCTCCGAGGCTTGTCCACATTCACTTTCCTTGTTCGTCACGATGACAGTCACTTAACTCTATCGTACGATTAACTAGCTTACAGAAGCCACTAACTATCGCGGGGTATAAGGTTACCGCACCAAAATACGCACGGAGTGTCTGGATCAAAGGTCACTACCGTTTCGCGTTGCAACAGTTAGTTCTAGAATATCAGAGGCCGCACTAACCGTGAGCACTGCCTAAGGACGACTGACTGCCCTTGGGCGTTTTTCGCACTACCGAAAGTCAAACCGGTATGAATGCACCGCGCCGAGCGCCCTCTCGCGTCAATCCTTGAAAGTGTTTGGCGCGAACAGAAATAAAAAAGAACTTTTAAAAATATTTGAAAAATAAGGTCAACTTATAACTGTGTGCTTCCAGTAGTAATTAATATTACTTAATAAATAAACTATGTTTGCAATTTTGGGTCAAGATGCGCGTTTAGTAATAAACATTGCCAAAATAACCAAAAATTACAAGACCATAGAATATTGGAAAGGTTAGATAATTCTTTAAATATCTTTCTCAGTTGTGGTCCCACATCGCATCAGTAAAATCTATACTAACTATTAAACACAACGTCTGGATGCATGAAATCAATTATAGAAATTTAAATTGGTTAAAAGAAATAGTCTCCAAAAAAGAAAACAGTGATAAACCTGAGTCTGATTTTTTTTTAATATAATATTCAGGCGCCCGCATTAAGTGCAAGGAATAAGCAAACCTAAGTCCTCTGTATAAGTAGAAGGACGCGGATTGGCATAGTGGTATCGGGCTTTTCGTGTATTTAATTTTTCGTGTATTTTACCCCGGAGTACCTTGGCAGGTTCAGAGTTGGGAGTCGTCCCAACAGCTCCGGCTGAGGCTGCCCCCGAGAGGACTCGGGCAGGCCACTCATCCGAGCTTCACGCGCCTCTTCGGCATACCTGCCTTCAGCCTCGATCAACTCGTCCGTGAGCGAAAAGAACTGCTGAAAAGTCCGCGAAGCAGGAGTCCAGGACTCCCTTTTCCATATCCGAATCCACGAGCTCAGCGCACTGCGGCCCTTCGAGCATCGACTTGCTCGAGCCGCTTCATCAATTTATGGACCCTATCCGGTCGACCTAACAAAGCATGGGCGCTGGTGGCCCAGCGTAGCTCAGTCCGCAGGCAACGGATTAGTAGCTTGGGCGATAGCATCACTACTAAATACAAATTACGGACGCGGCTCGATCACAAATTACAAAAATAACAAATAACAAATACAAAAGAAGTTAACAGTTAACAAATGCAGTTCCTATCAAAACGAGTAGAATAGAAATTACACCAATACGAACTACTCCTTATTAATCAAATACAAGTTAGCACAAAAGAAAAGACACAAATCAAATCAACAAATCACAAATACTAGTGCGATCAAATCAAGTTAAATTCACATTACGCAAATACAAATTACTACTCTTTAGCTCTAATACAAATTACAATACGACTAAAGATACACATCACGGTCGATCAACAAAACATGCCTCGCTCGGAAATCGACCCTTCGATAAGTAATCCACTACAACTATCCGACAACGATAATTAACCGACTACGTGATAATAACCATCTACCTACATGACGCATACCTCTAGAAAAACTCCCGCTTGCGCACTAAACGGGCGCGGCTTTTCAAATCTACCCGCTAACCAAATAAGCAAGCAACAAAGGAAAATAATTTTATTATTACTTACAAAAAAAATATTTTTACGTATTACGGGCGGGCGTGATTGTAGACACAAAATCAAACCAATCAAACCAACGCTCCCTGCCACCAAAATTGTTTAATTTTTATCAAACACTATGGTCGGGATCGACCGGGGAATCGAACCCGGAACCGCGCTCTGCTACCAATTTGTTACGGCGTGCAGCTGCCTATCCAGGAGTAGGATCTTCCCGGACCATGAAGGAAGAACCTACAAGCAGATGCAGGTCGGGCCTCCTAACGCCAAATTGGAAAATCTCTAATAACAATAAACAATCAGGGGGAGCGTTCTATCCTACTGCAATCCAACAGGGAGAATATTAAAACCGAGCTTACTTACCTATATCCAAGGCGACTGGTCCCTCAGGGTTCGGTCAGGTCGCATGTGGTTGTATGGTGCCTGGGAAGTAAGGGTCAGTAATGTGTATCTGTGTGTGACTGAGTGTGGTAGACCTTATGAGACCGTTGCCGTCGGCAGCAGCTCGGACTTCAGCACCGCTCCAAATTGTGGTAATCTCCCGCGGAGTAGTCCACAGTCACTTTCTTCGTTCGTCACGAGGACAGTCCTTAACTTTATCGTACAATTAACTAACTTAAAGAAGCCACTAACTCTCGTTTGTTATAAAGCTTAACACACAAAACGAACACGGAGTGTCGGTCTATATGAAATCCCGTTACTATAAGCAAAACGTAACACACCGCACGACCACGAATGTCCGGATCAAAGGTCACTACCGTTTCGCGTGGCAACAATTTTTTCTAGAATATCAAATGCCGCAGTAGTAGCTAATATTGTCGAATACCCTTATACAGATTCTGAGTTAGATACAAGAAGTCCCGGGAAAAGCTCTCAAACAAGGAATGCGCGATACGAATGCTAGACTGTATATTTACTAGACGTGCCTAAACGATTCCAAGTTCCCGCACAAAAAAATGACAGCGTGCTGTCCCAAGCACAGCTGGCAAACGACTGCTGCGCTCGCGCGCCCTAGCTACACCGCTCGATCAAACGTCAAAACTGGTACAGCGCCGAGCCGAGCGCCCTCTGGCGTCAAATTCCGAAACCAGCGTTCTGGCGTGAACACAAATATTTTTATATCTATTGTTCTAATGCCATCAAAACCAGGAGCTTTGTAACTATTTAATGCATAAATAAGTTTTTCTACAGAGTCGGAATCAGCTGCCTCATCATGGAACTGTTTAGGGCAATTGGGAATTATTTTATGGACACTTTTTCAAATGCAGCAAATGAATTTGCAATGTCTTTATCAGTTGCTTTATTGTCTTTAAATGCCTTTATTAATGTCTCATCTATGCATGACTTAATTCTACCTATAATTTTATTCAGTATTTGACATAAGTGCCTAGGATTATTTTTACTATTTATAATTTGAGCTTTTTATTGCTTTTGGTCTTATTTATAAATTTATTAGCATAATTTCTTGATTTATTATACGCTTTCTTTAAAGTCATATTGCAGGTATCCTTTATTTATTTATGCTTTATTTGCACACCAAATACAAAAAGGCGGACTTAATGCAACAGGGCATTTTCTACCAGTCTACCTCCAGGCTAAGCAAAGAAAATATTGTGGGTGCAAAGTGCAAACAGCTAAGTAAATAATATCTATGTCTACATAATGCATACAGTATATATATATACATAATTAAATATAGCAGTTTCTGATTCAAACTATAACAAATGTAAAAATGAAATGGAAATCCACAAACTACTCCTGCAACGTTAGATAGTGATTCCAGAGCAAGCGTTTGAACGATGCCTTGCTCGTGGCTGCGCATACACTGCCCGGTAACTCGTTCCATAATCTTACCGCATGAAGAGTAAAAGATTGGTGTAAAAAGCTAGCGTGACAGAGGGGAACATGAAGGTTAGATTTTTCCATAGAATGAGAAAACGGAGACAACTATTGGGTTTTTCGGAAAGTCATTTCGTTTTTAAGCTGATAAAGACGCGATAAAGGCATTAGTTGATGTGAACCGGCGAACAACAACACGTAAGATCAGATTGAAGTTAAATTTATCAAATTCAACAGATTATGACCACTTGAAAGGCCTGGGATTATCTTCGAAGCTCGATGTACACAGAGAGAAATCTGTGTCGCCGTATTGAGGTCTGCGATTCGCTTCTCAAACGTCACAAAAATGATCCGTTCTTGAAGCGCATCATCACTAGGGACGAAAAATGGGTTGTATACAACAACGTCGAATGCAAGAGGTCATGGAGCAAAAAAAGATGAACCGGCTCAAACCATTTCCAAAGCCGATATTCACCAAAAAAGGTGATGCTGTCTGTTTGGTGGGATTTTAAAGGAATCGTTTTTTTTTTGAGCTTTTACCGGATAACACAACGATTAATTTGGAAGTCTACTGTCATCAGCTGGACAAACTGAATGATGCACTTCAACAGAAAAGGTTAGAACTAATCAACAGGAAAGGTGTAGTATTTCACCAAGACAACGCGATACCTCACACAAGTTTGGTCACTTGCCAAAAGCTTTTACAGCTTAAATGGGATGCAATGCTACACCCACTATATTCTCTAGACCTGGCACCATCGGATTATTATTTGTTCCGGTCACTCCAAAATTTTTTAGACGGTAAAACCTTCACCTCAAATGAGAAGGTCAAAAACCTCCTCGATCAGTTTTTTGCCAGCAAAGACCAAAAATTTTATGAGCGTGGAATTATATATATTATATATATATATCCAATCATTACATAGTTATTCCTTTTATATTAGTTTTTATTTTTATTTGAAATTTAAACTTTTCATAGCATTGTGTAAAACTACCCTGTATAAATTAATATACCGCTGATGGGCATGACATGTCATTTGTTAATTCCCAATTAATATCATTAAATGATGTCATGAGATTAGTATTATCTTAGAGTTTGTTTCGACCACCGCCCATTAAATAATGCAACACCAGGAGAATGGCAGGAGTGTTGCCAACTTTTAAAGCAGTAAACTCGTTTCTTGAAAGCCCTTTAGACGTAACGGTCTGGAAAAATCGCCAATGGTAAACAATTCCACAGAAAAGTCGTGCATGGAAGAAAACACCTAGTAAATGTCACAGTAATGGACCGCCAAGCATCCAGATGGTATGGATGGAAGCGTGTGTTTTGTCGCGATGTCCGTTATTGAAATTTGGCGGCTGTAATTATTTCTAACTATTCCTCAAAGCACTCTCCGTGGTAAATAGGATAGAAAATGCAAAGGGATGCCACGTCTCACCATAGCGCCAGTGAATAGAGCCAATCGAAGAACACTTGGTCGTCGACGACTCGCGCCGCTTGGACGGAAAGCAGAGACGCCGACCGGAGAGGCCCGGCTCATAAATGAGAACAATATTCCAAACCTGCACCTTGTAAAGTTGCAAGCAGTGTGCCGGCATGCAATACTGTCCCGCTCTGCTGAGCACGCCAAGATTTTTAAAGGAAAATTTAGCCTTCCCTTCCAAGTGACTACGAAACTGTACGACATTCGATATGTCAGCGCCGAGGATTCCGATACTTGCTCAGGCAACATGGGGAGTGCGCTGAAATAGAGGAGATATGACAAAGGGGGTATTTTAGCGTAAATGCGCAAACTTGTGTCTTCTGTGGTTTGAACTCAACTATATTCAGTCACTCCTAATCCGAGACTTTGTTCAACGAAGACTCGACTTCACGCAAAGGCCAATAGGAAGGGAGCTTAGAAATAAGCGCTCTGTACCAAACGCGATCGAAGACCTTCGCAATGTCCAAACTAACGGCCTAGGCCTCCCTCTTGAACTCTACTGCCTGCACCCATCTACGAGTCAGGTAACTTGAATAGAAACCGCACTGTCGTCACTATTCACCTGGTAACCCTCAAGGTAGCTCACAAGCTGGCAGTTTATAATGGCTTTCATTATTTTGGCGAACAATGAGGTAATGGTTATAGGCCTGTAGTTAGATGGGTCAGCCATCTTAAGGGATCGGGTAAATTAAAACTATATTTGTATTCTGGACTACGCCTAGGATGTAAGAATTTTGAAAAAGGCGCTATATTTCGATGCATGTATTTCACGAGTTTCCGAAGGAAGGTGAACTAGTTTCTCGCCAAATCTGCCGATGTTCTCTGATTTTGCAATGGAAATTAATTTTTTTGAAGGGCCTGGAGGCGAAATTATTGTTCTTTTTAAGAGCGCTAGTCTTTACATCCCGGGACATCGATGCGTTTTAATAGGTTTTAACAGGTCCAGTAATACTTCTGCTTATAAACTGATGCAATTTTACAGGAGCGACCAAACCATAGCTGAAACCAGCCTCCGATGGACACCTCAGATGATGAAATAAAGAGTTCCATTCCCTGAAGTACCACATCAGCGACATAATCAGCAACAACGTTGGGATCATCTGTCAAAAAGTATACCCACCCCCAAGAGTAGGATGCAAAGAAAACCACATCCTGTCCCAATTGTACCAACTCGGTGGCAACCTGCAGAACGCAACTGCGAAGGGAGCGTGAGTGGAAATGTATTCGAGATCAGACAACGGTCCGAAGAGCCAAGAGGGGCGTTGACGGAGAGACAAAATGTGAGGTCAGCAGAGTGTTCTACAGGAAAGGTGCATGAGCCTCCACATCTGGAATCCACGTAGGGGAAGTAATAATTTGTGTAGTATCATATGCCAAAGTAAAGCAATAAACAGATCTTCCCTTATTATTGATTAAAGAAGAACAAAGCCATTCAACGTGGTGGGCGTTTAAATCATCAAGGATCATGATCATTGCAGATGGGACCTGTTATAGCATGGATTCTGCAGCCATTTGAACTAGGTCGATGAGTTAGTCTGTGTCGGCATTACCTATAGAGGCACCCGTAGATGCGGCGAAGTATTGAGACGTCCGTACCTTCAAGACTGAGCAGATGTCCTCTCTGAGGTATACGCATCTGCCTCTTGGCTTCGTTAAGATTCGAATGAAGTCTTTCTCTTATTGCTCTGCTTGCCTTGAGAAGTTTTAGTCTGAGCAAAATCCCTCCTAAAACCCCGAATATTTAGTTTAGTTTATATAGGCCCCCAATTTCATTTTTGCCCCGGGGCACTTGGTTACATAGACGCCACTGGCTATTACTAGTGTACTAAAGATATATGTAGTATATTGAATGGTACTATTTAACTTGAACTCTCTCTGGCATTAATTTAAAAAGTTAATAAATTAAAAAAAATAATAATAACATGGCCAAAGCAAACTCTGTAGCGCTTTGTCTTGTACAAAAGTCGGCCGCTTAAATATGTTATTATGTATGTTGATATAGCCAGGCTACAGCTATATGTATAATAGTTGTAGCACGAATGGGTCGGCTCGAACAGGGTAGGACCACACTCCCACAGAATACCAGCGCAAAATCAAAATGTATCCTATAAGATCCTTTTTACTGGAAACGAGACGTTCCATATTTGTCCTCAAAAGTGACAACGCATCTGTATGCTTTCAGAAAGCACGTAAAATGGTAATTTCCCGGATCTGTCTGCAGTCGTTTCGAATTGCTGTCCCGTTAGAGGCTGATATATACGTACTCGTATATACGTATACTTATATATTATATTATAATCTAATAAACAGCCGTACGATACGTTATATATACAAGTTGTCCCAGAAGTCCACGTCAAGTCGGAATCAGGTGATAGGTCAAGTCATAATAGTTAACAGAAAAATATAAAAATATGTCTTTGCTATGTATTATAAAAATTACAGACATTTATAAAAAAATCGAGAAAATCTACAACCTGTGACGGTCTTTTAACTCCTGTTGCTACAAATTTTAACTATTTTTTTATTTTCTTTTTGTTATGTAATCTTGAATAATCCTTCCGAAAACTGTTGCTTAAAGTTTACAGCCAACTGCTCCAGTCCAGAAGGAAATGTAATTTTTTTCTAAACCAAGTATTCCAAATTAGTATTTTGCCCAGTTTTAGATGACTGTGCTGAAAAATAATGTATTACATGAGTTAAGTAACTTTGAAAGGACAATGTCCAAATTCGCCTAAGAACCAACATATATTTGACTATTACCAAAATTCTTATCCTTAATTATGCATTAGATAATATTCATTAGATAGTAACGGACACTTCTGACTTGTGAAATCAAAATAAAAAGGACTTTTTCGATTTTGAACTTTGTACCTATTTTTTAATACTATAGTGCTTCGTGTATGGCCTCCTGTGATTTAGCCAATCGCACAATACCTTCATTCACATATTTCAAAAGTTGTCATAAACTCAAATATATTATGCAAACGTTTATATTTTAAAATATATCTCAGATTAATATATGCCACAAGCAACTGGGGTACAGTGAAAATAACAATACTTTTGTCATCTCATTGGCAAATCAGCATTGTGCCACGCAAAAAAAAAGTCAAAAACGTTGACAGATGACAACAAGTCAAAATAGATAGACGTCAGACGTGCTAATTGTTTTGGTTTCGTTTGAAAAAATACATTTCTGTACATGTTTTAGGAATCTAAGTGCACTCTGTAGTTGCTTTGTATGCGATAAGTTTATATAAATTACGAACAACGACTTGAACAACGGATACGATGTTTCATAAACAAAAAAAATAACCTCAAAATCTCTATGATAACTGCAAATATCTAAGTTTTCAGAAGTGTCCGTCAGGAGTTATTGTTCTTACATACAATTATGTGTAATTTCGGACTTAAAAAGGTTTTTTTTTTCACTGTTGGTTCTTAGGCGAACATTGTATGGACGCAAAACATTGTCCTTTGTCGCATGTAATAAGAACTCCAAAATGGTATAATAATTGCAAGATTATTTGTTAAATTATGGATTTTTTTTAATGAAACCCAGCTGTAAATTAAATTTCCTTACCTGTCTAAAATGTTTTTTACACATGCGAAGTCTTACCTTAAGCCTGGTACTTAAGATTCTAGTTTGAGTGAAGCGGAGGGAACCAGTTGATGAAGTGTGAGCGAGACAGATAGTGACGCTAACGTGACAACGACGGAGAGAGTAATTTTATGTAGTTTGAGCGAGACAGATAGTGACGCTACTTTTTCGCTGTCGCACACAAAATTAAGTTCAGTACGTTACGCTCCTTTGTTTACTGCGCATCTTTCTGTATTCGTTCGTGTTGATTTAGTACTAACCATAACCACATTTGGCTTCGTTTATTGAACGTGATTGCTTGTTATTTGGATTTGGCCTCTTTAGTTTATCTTTAAGACGACCTTTGCTTTCCCGTGGACTATCATTGATAGTGTAATTGTGCAGTACCACCATGTCTGCGTACTCCAAAAAAGAATATGCTAACATACACCTCATTATTAAATTTATTATTAGCTGGGTTTCTTTAAAAAAAATATTTCCATATCTTAACAAATAATCTTGTAATTGTTATACCATTTTGAAGTTCTTATTAAATACGACAGCTTTTACAGTTACTTAACTCATGTAGTACATTTTTTATTTATTCAATTAGTTATTCTAATTCCGGAAGAATGTTGCGATCACAGTACAAATCCAAGAACGCACACAGTCACACACGTAGGTATAGTAGGGTCTTGCTTGCCTAGTAGATCGCTCATGTTCAAGACGAGTTAACGCCGCCGCAGAGCCGCTTGACACAACTGTAGGTATTAGCGCCGAAAAAAACCGACTACATTACAGAATAAATAAACAATACACGATTGCTTACGTTAAAAAAATACCTGTGAATGTACATTAACCAGTGTCCGAACTCCAAGCATCGCGTTGTTTTTTCAAGTCTAGTAAACATTTAATTGCATCGTTCCATCACACATTTTTGGCTTTTCTGTCGAATCAGAATAATTGTGTTTATTGATTATGATACAATATCAATAGGCAATATTCATTACAAACTTTTATGCATAACAGCGTAACATTTTAATTGTAATTGTAAATAATAATGAACTGCTAAATATACCAGGCGATATGATAAAATAATTCAAATACGGCCTGTTTATAAGATGTGAATCAAGATTACAATAATTTAAAAAATCAAATACTTAACGTGCTGATAGCCAAAACACTCATGCAACGTTGTATTTTTATTGCACTTTCAATGGCCACTACGTTGTTCAATACATCTTAAAGACAATGTTCTTTATTTATATTTTAATTCAGAAAGGCCTTCAGTGTCATTTTTTATTATTCCAAAAGCGTTCACTATCCTATTTTTTAAGTCCTTAGCACTGCTTGTCTCACTAAAATAAACTAATGATTTAATACGTCCCCACAAAAAAAGTAACGAGGCGTCTAATCAGCTGATTTGGGAGACAACTGGACAGCGCCGCCGCGACTGATCCAACACTCTTCAAACTCTGTATTTGTAAAGAACTTAACGTGCTTGAAATAACGTTAATTTTTCTTTGTTTTGTATTGAATGATGGAATTTGTATGAATACAAATAAAACTGCACTTTTAAAAGTCTTATTGTCTTGAGTTACGGTCCATTTCAATTTATTTTGGCGGTACAGATTTAGTGTGACTGTCATTGCCGTAGTTTTAAATAACTAACAATAAGCAATAAAATAGTTTTAATTAGTTTTGGGATAAAAATTATCTATATTAAAAATGATAGAAATTGATTGATAGTGTTCCTTTACAAAAAGAGTTGACAAATTTTAAACTTAAGTTCAAATATATGTAATGATCATATATCGTTATTGCAGTTTTTGAAAATACGAGTAAATACGGCTTCTACTTATGGCAACTACGTTTTAACCTTTAATAATGTGTGCGTGAGCAGTAAAAGCAGTTAAAATAATGCGTTACGACGCATTATAAATTTAAAAGATAAAAAGACAGTGTTTGAGATATTATTTTGTTATTAAATATTTCATCACCATTTGCCTGTATTACTTATTCTGAACCTTCTCTGCAAATTTGGTCGATTATTGCAAAATAACTATGTATATACAAATATATTTTACTAGAAATTGTTCAATTTTATTCTAGGTGTTCTAATGGCGAGTCGACAGGTTATAACGTCGTATTTTATATGAACGAAGAACCTTTAAAATCGATCTGTAACGAAGGCGTTTGTTCTTGGGAAGACTTTGAAATGAAACTTAAACCTTTTATTAATACTACGACGGCCTTTTGTTAATAGAAAAAATATATTTTTTGTAATCTACACTAATATAATAAAGTGGAAGACACTTTTTATTTGTTTTTTTTTTGTTTGTTTAAACGAGCTAATCTCTGGAACTACTAGTCCGATTTGAAAAATTCTCTTTGTATATAATAGCCAGATTTATGAGGATTAGCTATTAATTTATTAATCTAGCACTAGCCTTAACTCTCAGCTAGCCTTAAATATTGATTTTTGTTAAGCAAGTCGGAAGAAAAGATGCTCTCTAACTGCTTTATCCACGTGAACTGGCGTAACATTTAGTATTAAATAAATACAATGTTCTACAAAAATATTTCTTTACTCCATCTAAAAAAGTCCGTAATACTATATGCCTATTTCTTATACATATGCCACAATAAGGTATTTTGTGACAAAAAATTATTGAAAATTAAAAAGTGGTCATTATTAGGCATGGCATATCCTTACGAACGAAAGTTACTCTATCATCAAGACAATTTGATGAAAATAAATTTTGCTCTTTACATCATGTTATTTGGACGCATAGTTTAAGATAATATGAAAAATAACTAACAAAACAAATAACGTGCTTCACACTGACCCTGAGATTTTTGTCCACTGGCTGTGCCAGCGTAACCGTTTTATTCCAGTCTCGCCGCGTACACGACAAGCGGCCAGTGATCACGCACACATGCCCTGCGTGCTTGTAGTAGTGCAACCGATTCGTGTGGTTGCATAAAGCTTTATCTCTGTTTCGTCTATTCTCATGTGATGAGAGTGAGGGAATGGAGAGCACACCTGTGCTTGCGCGTACACTTGAGCACTATAATCCTGTCGTGCAACGATGAAGAGTTTCCATCGAGGCTGGCCGCCGTGACCGAAATTCGGTCTGGTGGGCATTATTATTATGGGGTATCTATAAAGTTTTCATCTGATTGGGATGTATAAATATACAATTGTAAATAAAAATGATAAATATACATAAATATCATTAAAATAAAATAAATACATAAATAATTAAAAACCCAACCACATAGAAGCCCCTGGCAGGGGAGACCAAATGGCCGAGGGTTAGGGGAAAGGGAAAAAAAAACCGGCGGTTGATGTGGGCGGTATCGAGGAGCACCGGCTTCTGTATTTGAGCTTAAAGCGGTCCGTCACGGAGTCCCAGTCGCCTCAGATGACCCGAGAGGCTAACTGGGATTAATTAACCCGTTCGCAGAAACGACTACAGGTATAATTTCGGTCGGCAGTCACTCTCTGTGATGATAGCCCGCGATTCCAATAGAGCCTAGCGCGGTCATTTTCGAGCACAGCTTCCGGCGAGTACCTGTAATACGCCAATTTCCGGTCCACGAGAACATATTTCAGAGTGAGCTCCTGGTTTAAAATTCTGGATAATTGATTGTGCCTGAACAAGTAGTCAGAATTAGAAAGCGTGAACAACCGTGATGACATGCCTAAGTGACGGTGACAAGCTCGACAGATGTCGACGGTTTATTGGTCTAAATAACCTCATCCTGTATCACACAGTCAAAACCCTTGGAATCTCCAAAGAGGTCACCAAATGTAGCCAGTGGAGGGAGGCAACTGTGCCTACGAAAGGCTTATGTGGAGCCCTGTAGAACCTCTCGTGGAGCTCCTTCTCTTTCCATACGGTCTCCCGGTCAGAAATCTCTGTATCTCTGTACTGCCGGATCTTGCCATTTCTGGTTGGCTAAAAATAGAGGGGAAAGTCCTTTATCACAAGAAATGACATCCCTATAGAATGGATCATACGCTCTCATCAGAAAGTAATCACGGAGACTGCACACATTGCGATTATGCATGGTAAGCGCGATTAACAGCCACGCCCACCATGTTTTCGCGGCAAGTACAGCCTCATAATCGACGATCTCGGATCATAAGGGACGATGCATCTTATGGGACGTTATAGTAGTGTGAACTTTTCTATTCAGGGCGTTAAGTTCAGTTTGAGTCCACCTAAGTATGCCAAAGGTATATATGAGAACAGGCATGACCCAACCGTTATGCATGTGCCTTATTCACATCGAACAAAAGGTTATTAAGCACTTTGGTCAAGTGTGCATAAAACACATCGCAAACTGACAGTTTTATAACCGCCTCATCGATACCTAGGTACCGATATGTTTCAGCCTCGGAAAGAATCCTTATGTTTATGGGCATAGATAAGTCTTTGCCCTCAGAGCTAGCAACCTTTCCCTTTCAATCTGGAGAACCGCACACTTATCCGTCCCCAGCTCCATTCTAATAGAATTACTAAAATCACAAGTGATATTTAGCAATTCCATAAGATGGGAGTGACTGCGACTGGAAAGGTAGGTCAATTTTGTACCTCCTTTCCGAAGCTAAAATCCTCACCCGGAGTCCTCCAGTAAAGTACTGAGAGAGTTCAGACAGAGGCAAATCCAGATTGGACTCTAATAATCGCCCTGAAAGTAACCCCTTCTTATCCTTATGCAGCTTTCCGTATCCGTCATTCGATCGACTGACAAAGGATTGTACTCCACCGCCCCATGCACTGCACGAGACATTCTCTAACTGTACAGTCAACCTTGTACAGCTTGAGGACCCACTTTACCTATGTATGGGACACCGAGTCGAATGCTTTTCTATAGTCTATCCTTGCGGCGGAGAAGTTCCGACGGTTGACCACTTCTTTTAACCACTTTGCCAATGACCGCGTCAATGAGGAGTGGTTCCTTGGTTCCACGACCACCGCCCCGGCATCCATTTTGAGCACGCGACATCGACGAATGATTTGCGTACTCAAAATGGATGTCAGTGTCTTTATATATGGTGGTTAGACACGTAATGGGGCGGTATTTGCTCGGGTCTGTGGAATCCCGGTCTTCAGGAACCCAATGAGTGATCCCAGAAGTGATGAGACTCTGGTGTGACTTTTGGTTGAGAGCATCTTAAAACTGTCCGGCGAGCACAGCGTGACACACGACGAAACCCTTCAGCTAGTAGTGATGCAGTCAATCGAGTCCCGGCTTTTCCCAGTTCGGGGCCTTAAGGATCGCCTCAGCAACGTCATGCGGCGTTATGATTACGGGGTCCGTGGGCGTAACACTCGCACACTGACTCACCACAACTTCCGTCCAAGGGCCCTCGCTGTTATTTACGGGATCTTATTATTATCATTTTTTTTTATTTAGTTTTAAGTCTCGGTTTCTACCGGATTACTAATAGCACGAGCCTAAGCCAAGTGCATATTAGTGCTAGATTTGATCATATCCTGTAAGGTACCTTATTCAGATACCCGAGTGTTAGGTTGTGAGGTAATTTGCAATAGTAAATGTGTGGTCTATTCTTCAGTTTGTAGGAACTTCCTAACTATTCTGCATGTATTTAGAATTACAAGTTTCAGCTAGTATAATGTTGTCATTAATGTTTTTATAATTAAGTTCAGATACGTATTACGTAAGAATTTTCTATATAGGTACTTTGCAAACATGTCATAGGCCGATATTTTGCGCGGCAACTAAGATCATTGTGATCTTTATTATTATTACGTATTGTACTAAAAATGTTATCGTAATACGTGTAAAAGATTTACGAGTATTTTCAAATCGAAATCTCTTTTTAAAAACCATTTATTAAAACATGTAAAATTAATGCATAATATTTTTCGTATGAAATAAGACTATTTTCATGGTAATTGTTTTTATATTTGAGATTGGTCGGTCAGTGCTATAAATAAATAATTATATATCATTGTAATTTTTAGGTGCTTTATAATAAGAATTTTAGTCTGGTTGTTATACATTAGATACATATATAGATACAATATCAAGATAAAAATAAATAAAATATATGTAATGAAATTAATATATACTTAACCATCCGTCCGTCACGTTGTTAGTATTTTTATTAGTAGTATTTTAACATATAAGCAGTAAACTTCGATAGCCTGTAACGAGTGATAATTAGGACTACTGACTTTATTAGAAAAATAATTATTATAAATTAGTACTTTGAAAAATTTGTATTATAAATTGATGCCGGTATCACAATATTCTGAATGGTATTAATATAACCACATGAAATAGATATAATACGAGTTTTAGCTAATTACTTGTATAAAGACGATGGTTTTCTGAACAAGTTTGCCTCATTTCTTTAATTTAATGCATATACAAATTACATTTATTATTTAATTTGCTTAATACATTTTCAAATTATAATTAGGAAATTAAGCTAATGACATGATTATAGACATAAATAAATATTTAATAAATAATAGATAAATATTTATTTCAAAACAATGGGTACATTATATTATATTTGTGACCGTAGCCCCCTTTTAAACTAATGAGCAAGTATCAGGGAGCACCACTCTTCCATTCAGTTGAGTCTTATGGATACCACCATTTTTCACGGTATTACTATTGACGAGAAACTTCAATGGAGCCCCCATATATCTAAATTAGCAAGCAGACTTAATTCTGCAGCATATGCTGTAAGAAAGATTAGAAGTCTTACAGATATCGAGACAGCTAGATTAGTGTATTTTAATTACTTTCATAGCATTTAACAGTGGTAGAGCCACGCGGCAGCTTTTGCTGTCGCACGCATGGGCCGGCTCGAACCGGGGTGGTACCACGACCTCACAGAATACCAGCGTGAAGTAGAGGTTTACCTCTGTGTTTCGCTTGGTGAGTGCAGGTGGCCGGAGGCCCTTTTTACTGGAAATGAGGCATTCCATCTTAGTCCTCACGGGTGGCAACGCATCTGCATTTTGATTCGCAAACGAGGATAGATGTAGATGTCTATGGGCCGCAGCAACCACTTACCATCAGGTGGACTGTGTGCTCGTTTGTCACCCTTATCCAATAAAAAAAAAAGCGTAATGTCTTATGGAATGCGACTGATATTGAAGCTATATTTGTTTTGCAAAAGAGAGCCGTTCGGGCGATTCCTTAATTGTAAAGAGTCCCTCAGACAAAATTTAAAGAAATAAACATATTAACTTTGGCATCGCAATATATATATGAGAAAATTTAATGTTTGTGCATAAAAACATAAATAGCTTTAATAAGAATAAG